CAAAAGGCTTTTTCTATGATGGAAAATGACCTACATTATTTGTGAAAATATTATGTTCTACCCATACATAGGGACACTTTGCTGCAGATATGGATACTCTCTAGCAAAGCTCACAAAATGTGACTATATATGATATAGATGATTGATAGTAGATAGATGATATTCAATAGATATTCCCCCTCTCTCTATATATAATATATTATATAATATTATATGTATATAGATATAGACCTATCTAATATAGATCTATCTATCTAATCTCCAGATAGAGAGTTGGAATTTTGCCCTAGTATTCCCCAAATATTAAAAAGAATCAGAAGGAGGTGTACCATGTACTGAGTTGTGTTCCTCTGGAGGATCCATGGAAAGACATGAACCACAATGGTACAGGATAAAAAGATGTGGCTGAGTTTCAGTCTTTACTGGTTGAGGAAGTGCCCACATCAATGAGATGATGGATCTACTGAAGTGTAATAAGCAACAGATAAATCCCATGTCTATCCTCTGTTGACTCCTCCATTTGACTTTTAAAGTACTTGACAACCTGGTCCCACCAACTGGCAACCTCCATTTCCAGCCTTTATTTTACATTATTCCTTTTTCCATACACTGAAGTCCAATCACTACGACCCTTCTTCCTGTTTCTCATATGATGCTCTGTCTCCTATTTGTACTTTTGTGCTGGATGTCTCTCATACCCGGAATGAACTCCCTCCTCCTCACTACCTCTTAGAATCCCTTATTTTCCTCAACCTTCAGCTCAAGCAACAGCTATTACATAAAGTTTTTCCTGATTCACATCTCCCTCCAGCAGGATTGGCCTTCCCCCCTCCATTATCTTTTATTTAGTGTGTGTATATGTATGTATATGTATACAGGTGTGTATATGCATGTAAAATACCTATCCCATAGATAGTATATTTATTTTATTAAGCTTGTGTATATATATATATGCATATGTGTGTATACACACACACACACACACATTATCTCTCACAATAGAGAATTAGTTATTTGAGGTTAGAGACTTTCATTTATGCCTTCAAATTATCGGCACCTAGCACTATGCTTATCACTCTGTAGGTACTCAGTTGATTGTTGCTACGACCTTCAGAAAAGACACCTGTGTGGAAAGTCTTTAGAAATAAGGACTGGGCATTTCTATATACTTGTGTCCAGTTTTGCCAAATCTATGTAACCAGGATTCACAATGTAAAAGTCAAATGGCAGGTATGAAGAAGGGAAAAACCCTAGTAATGTTTCACCTTTTACTACTTCCAATACAGGGAATACACTAGTTGAGTCTAGTATTTCAAGAACAGAGACACAGTTATGCATTCAGCTGATCTAACGGGTGTGTTAATAGTACAAAACTGGTTGAGTGGTTATATTCACATACAAAAATGGTATAAGGTCACATGTTTTCTGCTCCATTTCCACCCACTGGATCACCATCTTTAACTCAGGGAAATGAAGTAACATATGTAACATCTAAGTGTTCCCAGGGAGTCAGCTCTATTAGGATGGCCCATGGCTGTTAAGATCTGTGTGGTTTTATATGGAAGTAGACAAAGGGAAGAAGAGCTTTTATAAATGTACCAATTTTGAGTAGATCAGAAAAAGCTAAATACTGGGGTTAGTATAATTCATTTGAAGTCAGAGTTTGTACTCACAGTGATTCAATAGTTATTTCAGTTGCCCTCCTCTTCCTCTTTGGAGGAAAGGCGACCGAATTAATCAGTCTACATCAGGTAGTGATGACAACTTTGGCCTGGCTATTGTATAAAGAGAGAATGGATTTAATTCCCTTCTTGGTATTGCTACTTAACTACAGTATGAAAGATTCCTCCAAATGGGAAGGAACCTGATTATTTCTGGCAGCTTTAATCCCTTCTTTTTGCTGTTAATGAGAGCTTTTGATAATCTTTGTCACACTGCTTCAATAAAATACCTACAAATTATTTCCACAGGAAATATATTTTCACTGACCGTAAACTCAACCTGGATAATACCTAACACCAGAGGAGGCTTTAGAGAATGGGCTGGTGCACTGTGGGGGAGTAATTGGATACTATGACTCTCCATATCTGCTGGAGATTTGTACTGTGAACCATTTGAACTATAGCTTCCTCTGGGATTAAGTGGGAGGAGAAAAGAAGTGGAAGGCAAGGATTGCCATAGACAGTGACAGTTGAGCTTTCCCAGATCCATCAAATAGAGGAAGTCATACAAGATACAAGAATCTAGAATAGTAGATGTAGATGCAGTACCTTGTAGATCATCTGTTCAATTGCTGCATTTTACAGATGAGAAAACTAAGGCAAGGGAGCAAAAGTATCTTGATAGAACTCAGACTAGAACTAAGGTCTTCTGAACTCAAGTCCATTGTTCTTCCCCATAATAGCACTTACATATCCCAAACCACAACTCCATCACCTAACTGGCTACAAAAAAGATGGTTTGAGGCAGAGGAAGGGGGATCCTCCATCTGAAGTCAAAATAGAAAAGCAGAAAGAATCCTAGCAAGTATATACATAGAGAATTCCTCCTTCCATCCTTTTTTCAGAAGTTTCTTTCCAAAAACTACTCCTGAACTTCAGAAGAAAAGGATTCTGGCTCAAAGAGAAGTTGTTTCACTTGCTTCATTCCCTTCCTCTTTTTCTATCCTTCTTGTCTCTAAAAAATAGGAAGCACAAGAGCCTATAAAGGAATTCCTATGACTTCAGTGACTGATTTGTTACAAACCTTCTATTGTAGACCCACACCATTCCTCCAGGTAATGATGAATGAATGACCCAGAAGATAGTTCATAGAACACGCAAGATAAAAATAATCCAGTGAAAGGACATCTTACTAGATCCATTTGTTAGGGTCACACAACTAGGAAGTGTATGATGTAGAATTTGAATTCTGGTCCACCAATATTTACTAGGCATTTTCCCTTTACAATATAAATTGGTAGCAAAAATGGAGAGAATAGAAAAGGGAACTACTAAATTAGCAAATAAATATTGATTTAATACCTATTATGTGAAAAGCACGGTGCTAGAATAAACTGGCAGAGCAATTCTGAAACTATGAGTAACCTGGAAAAAGCACCTCTTTAGAGGTCAACTAGCTGAATTCTCTGCATCCGGAAAGATCTGAACCTAATCAACTGCTGGCTGATCTCTGTAAGTCTATTTAATTCTTCAATATCTACAGGGAACAACAGTCCATACCCTCCCTGGGTAATCAGTTTAGTATAGGAAAAGAGTTTTACCAAATAAAGTTAACATCTTACAAAAGGAACCTGGAAAGCAATTACTATGGGGTATTTCTTTAACCAATGTGGTCTAGGTTTTTAAATTTGCAGGAAATTGGAAATTTTCCAAATAGAATAAATTGTAAAGTCAGAAAAAGCATATCACATTTTAGATTGCTTTCTAATAAGTGAATATTTGTATCATTAAGTGGCACAATGGATAGATGTTAGGAAGGAGTTCAGATCTGACCTCAGACACATACTTGCTATGTGATTCTGAGCAAGTCTTTTAACTTCTGCCTGCTTCAGTGTCCTCATCTATACAATGGGTGTAAAAAAGCACCTACCTCTCAGGGTTGTTATGAGGATCAAATGAGATATTATTTGGGAAATGTTTTACAAACCTGAAAGCTCTATATAAATGCTAGCTATTGTTATCACAAAAATTAGGATGATTCCTCCCTCCCCCCAATTTGTGAGGCACATAGAGCCAAGACAGCCACAGATCAGAATATGAAACATTATTTAGACAAAGCCATTGGCAATGTGTCACAAAGGAAAGCCTGAAAGAGAAGATACAACCTAAGATAGAGATGGTGAATGTTTTACCACATTAGCCTAATTAGACATTAACAGATTAGAATGACTGATATGAGCCCTGCAGAAGTGACATTTTTTGTACAAAGCCTTATTTGGTTCTCACAGTACTTACAGCATTAGCAGGGAAAACTTGAAAGAGCCTGAGTATAATTGTCTCTTCAAATGGTGTCACCCTTACTAATTATGGCCAAAATCCAACACATAATGCAGGTCAGTCATGTAAAAGGTTATGAAACCACAGTAACTCACATCAGGGGGAACAAGTTGCACTTCTATGACCATCAGAACCAAGAGAATGACAATGGGGAAAACAACCTTAGACTATGCTGACTTGGTCAGCATCATAGAGCAGGGTCATAAATTAACTGAGTAAATGATACTGAGGACTTAAATCATCAACGAGTCAGAAAGGTGGTCTAACAAAGACAGAAGGTTGGCCTCAGTTGGGAAGCCATGGGTTCTCTGCCATATACTGAATGTGTGACCCTAGATAAGTAATTTAACCTTTCGGTGCCCCCAGACAACTCTATAAGACTTAACTGCAGAGAAGATTCACATTTGTACTTAGAGGAAGTCTCTCACTGAGGGCTCTCTGTACCAATGAAATCATAGGTCGAATTTAAAAAAAAAAAAACAAACATATACAATCAACAAAGGTGTAAGGTTTTGGGTTCCCGAAGTAAACACAAAAATTGTTCCATCTGTATATATGCATATATATAATACATATGTGTGTATGTATGTACATATGTATATATAATACACACGTGTATGTACAGATATGTGTGTGTATAAGTTCCATGCTGATTCTGGGGTCAAGAGGTCAATTATCCAGTGATCAAAAGTAAAACCAACAGGTTGCCATTCCTCTCTGCCTATCTCTTCTCCAAGTCCTCCTGAGGCCAGGGCTGGTGGACAGATCCAGAAAGCATAGAAAAAAAGCATTTGAAATAGAACAGCTCAGGGAGTCTACTCTCACAGGTTGACCCATCCCTCACCCCCTACCCTCCAACCAAGTCCCAGGCCTGCAGACTAGCCACATGGCTAATTGATCAGGAGACACTTTTGCTCTCACTACTAGCCAGGCTCTGAATGCAGAATGGGGCTTCCTGAAAAGCACAGGAGCAGATTTAGGACATCTTAAATCAGGACTAACCTGGAGCCAGCTGGTTCTGGGGCAAAGCAGCAGCCTTCCCTTGCCCTGGAGCCTTTTCCAAACGCTCCCCGGGCACGAAGCAAGGCAGGCCTGCTCGGAGGGAGGCCAGCCCGGCTCCTTCAGTCTCTGTAACCCTGGTAGAAGGCTGCAGCACGGAAGGGTCAGCCAAGGGGAGCCCAGAGGAGGTGCCTGGCTTCCTGCTGGGGCTGTCACAGAGTGCAGCTTCCCTCTCACTTGGCTGGGGAGGAAGCCGGAGGATACGGTGATGCAGCTGAGGGCTGGGAAGCCTTGAAGATAAAAGAGATGGAACAGATGACATTTGTCTAGGCGTGTTGGATGGTGGGGATGAATTATTAAACAGAGTGGTGACAGGTGCCGGCGATGGTGGGGAAGGCCTCTTCTCTTTTGCCCTGGGCCAGGGAGAGCCAGGGTCCACTTTGGGGGACCCACTCGAATTCAAGGCTTGGTGGCTACTTAGGGGCAGCCCCGCTTTCTTCCCAATCCTGGCCTCTGGGAGGGGATAAACAGTTTTTCTGGTGTTGGGAAAACCCAATCGTTTCCACTCATTGCCTTCATCTAAACTCTCACTCTGCATAACCTTCAGGAGGGCTTTGTTCACGGCTCCCACCTGGCTGGAAGATTCATTGGCAAGTAGGGCTTGTTCTCTGGCCAGTGGCCGGGCCCTGTCCCCTTGTGGCCTCTTCCCCTTCCTCTTGGCCAGCTGAGCTGGGACCTCCTCTCCAGGGAGGGTGAGCAGATCTGCTTTGGGAAAACACTTGGACTGGATGGCAGAGGGAAGGAGAGTCCCCTCCCCTACGTCCTGGCCATGGAGAGGAGTGCTCCTTTCCTCAGAATCAGGGAGGGTTTTAACAACTCTCTGCACCTGAGCAGACAGATCCTGGACTTTGGTCATCACTCTGGTGACCGGTCTCTTCCTTCGAGTCTTCTTGGTCGATTTCTCCCCCAACCTCTCTGCTTCGAGGCCCTTCTCAGGGGTCTCCCCTCTCTCCGATAAACCAGCTTGCTGATTGTCTGCCCTGCCCTGTGGCATCTGAGCACCACGAACAGCGACAGACTTTGGGGAATCCCCCACGGAGCTACAGCTCGCAGGCAGCACCTCCCCTCCCAAGGTAGCATTCTCATAGCCAGACACAGAGGCCTGAAGGTCTGGCTCTAACTCTAGTGTCCTGGGGATTTCTGGAGAATAGCTTTCTCTCCTCTGTTGTGGGGATGAAAAATTCCTATTCAGGGGCAAGTTGCCCCTGTCCTCCAGATGCCGATTAGGCCTTGCCCAGGAGTGAGAAGGGCAGCTGCCTGAAGAAAACCTGTCCCTCCCTGACCCAGAAGTTGATTCTTGGCCCCCTTGCTCTTTCCTTCTCAGTTTCTTCTGCAGGAGTTCCTCAAAGCTTTCCCTTCGTTTGCCAAACCTCTTGTTTTTTTTGTTCTTCAGAGTTGTCCTCTTGTCCAAAGAGCCTGCCAGTGGCTCCCCCTGCAAGCCCCCAGAACTCTGGAAATAGTCATCCTCAAATTCCAGCCCCCCAGACAGCTCAGGAAGCTTCCCCTCCTGGTTCCCCATCTTAATCCCCAGGATATGGTGTGAGCTCAGCAGATTGGCCAGTAGCCGCTCCTTCTCCGCAGTGAGCTTGTAGAGCTCAATGAGGATGTCTTTTGTAGTGGTTTGCTTGAAAAAAATGTCCCCCGGATTCTCATATGGCTGCTGCATGAGGCTGATGGTATCTGACCCCTCCCTGACTTGATAGCAGTTATGAAACCCTTTATTGGATTTGTCTAGAGTTACAGTGCCCTTATATGAAAATCCTCTGACTTTCCCCTTTGGAAGATAGAAGCTGATGTAGCAGAGTTCGGTAATGGGTTTGTGCAATTGAAGGGTGGAGTGAGTGCCTTCCATTATGCTCACCTAATTATTCATGCATCAGAGTGGTCTGTCTGTGGTTGAGATTCCCAGGCTCTAGTGGTGGGCCATGTGATGGTGGGAATGCACACAAGGCAGCTGACAGTCATCTCCCATAACAAGGGTGCCTGTAAGAAGGAACGAAGGGGAGAAAAGTAGCTTGTCTGACAAAGTTTGCACAAATCAGACACAGAACTCAAACAAAGCAACATCATCACAGGATCTAGGGCTAAGCCGGACCTTGGGCATCACAAATGTGTTCATTAAGGCTCATTATTGAAACCACCAGCATCACTCAAAGTAGTAGGTGATCGTAGACTTACCTTCTGGCCTATCCATGACTAGCCCCATCTTTTCTCTAGGGTGGAAGTCTGGATATTGCTACATATAGGACCTTAGGATTAAAAAAAAAAAAGGGAAAAAAGGGCTGTGTTTTTGATGCAGAATGTAGAATGGTGGATAGAGCACAATAGGACTTAAATTCTAATCTTGCATCAGACACTTATTAATTATATAACCCTGGGTAAGTCATTTAACCTTTCTCAGTCTCAGTTTCCTCATCTGTAAAATGGGGATAATAACACCTTACAGGATTGTTGTGAGGATCAAATGAGGTAACATGGAAAAAGCATTTTGCAAACATTATGGAGGCAGCTGGGTGGCAAAGTGGATAGAGTGCTATACATGGAGTCAGAAGGACCCGAGTTCAGATTCTGCCTCAGACAACTGCTAGCTGAGTGATCCCAGACAAATCACTTAACTTTTCTTTGACTTCAGTTTCCCTAAATATAAAATTAAATGGGGATAATAATAGCACCCACCTTACAGAATTGTTGGGAGGATCAAATGAGATAATAATAATAATAATATTTATATTTATATAGCACTGGGGCAGTTGAGGGTGCAGTGAATAAAATGCTAGGTTTGAAGTCAGGAAGATCTGAGTTCAAATCTGACCTCAGGCACTTACTAGTTGCATGGTCCTGGGCAAGTCACTTAACCTCTGTTTGCCTCAGTTTCCTTAAGTATAAAATGAAGATGATACATCTTTTACCTTGAAGCTTTTACCTTGAAGGGTTGTTTTAAGAAACAAATGAGATAATATTTGTGAAAAGCTTTTAGCACAGTGCCTAGCACAGACTTGGCACTATATACCTATTCCCTTCTCTTATTTTGTTATAATTGTTGTTCAGTCATGTCTGAGTGACTCTGTGACCCTATGGACATTGTCCTGGTATTTTATTGGCAAAGATACCGAGTGATTTGCCATTTCCTTCTGCACTATGTACCCATTTTACAGATGAGGAACTGAGGCAAATAGGGGTTGAGTGACTAGCTAGTAAGTGTCTCAGGCTGAATTTGAACTCAGATCTTCCTGATTCTAGGCCCAATACATTGCACCACCCCTAGCTGCCCTACCGTCTAGTGCTATAAAAGTTCCCTTCCCTTATAGTATTATATAAATGCTAACTAGTATTAGTATTGGCCATACCAGAAATTCAGTGGGACTAAATGCAAGGCTTCTATTCCTTTTATGCCCCAGCGCCCCAGTTCCCTTCATCTGCAAAACAGGTGCCCCAGAAATCTTAGTGCAGTTTTAGGTTATTAAAACTGTAGATGGTTGTCAAATAACATGTATTCTCTCTCAGAGATTTTGAGGTTAAGGAGAATAAGTGCTTTAAGATCCTGGGGGAGGGGAGGGGGGAAGATAAGCATTGTAAAGTATCACTGTTTTTGGTATTACTTTACAAGGATGAATCAAATCCTTTCTTCTCTAAACAGCAGCTTCTGAGTTTGAAAGCTGTTTATTTATTTATTCCATTAAAATACTGCCTTGATACTTTGGCATGACATCAGCAATGACATTGGCTCTGCCAGTGAGTTACACAGAGCTGGAAAGGCTTCAAGTGAAGGCCCAATGACAGGCAGTATGTCTAAGACAAGGCTGACTGCATTTAGAGAGGCTCATCATCCAAACATGAGTCACCAGGTGATAACATCTTTGATCACACCAATTCATAAAGACAGTTTACTAGGGTGTATAGAGATTGAGATTTTCACTGGTGGAGGAAACACACGCATAGGCATCCAAAAAAAAAAAAAATAAAACTTTCAGGGCCCCTATTTCTGATGAACCAGCTAATCAGCTAACTCCTAAATGTTAATAATCCAGTTACTTTCTCTCTGTCTCTTTGAGGCCCACTGAAGCTCCGTATATTTTTATTTGTTACAAGGCAGGCCTGTTTACTCCAGGGGCTCCGTACTACTTCCAGAATCCAATATAAAAATTCTCTTCCTAATTCCTTCCTAATCTGGTCCTTTTTACCTTTCCTGTCTTCTTACACCTTCCTACCTCTACACCCCTCACATATTCTGCAATCCAGGGACACTGCCTTTTTTTTCTTTTTTCTTTTTAGGCAATTGGGGTAAGTCATTTAACCATTTAACCATTTAACAGGGTTACACAGCTAATAAGTGTCAAGTGGTCTGAGGCCAGATTTGAACTCAGGTCCTCCTGACTTCAGGGCCAGTGCTCTACCCACTGCACCACCTAGGTGCCACCAGACGCTGCCCTTCTTGCTAGTCACTACAATACCACATGGCATTTTTACTGGGTTTTCACCATGTCTGGAACATCTGTCCCACTTTATCTCTTCCTCCTGACTCCCTCTAAGTCTCAGCTATAATTCTACTTTCTGCAAGAAGGCTTTCCTGGTACTTCTTGATCCTAATGCCTTCCTTTTGAGATTTTCTCCATTTTATCTTGTATTTATCTTGTTTGTAAATAGTTGTTTGCATGTTGTCTCCCATTAGACTGTGAGCTCCTTGAGAGCAGAGACTTTTTTTTTTATTTTATTTTATTTTTCTCTGTATCCTCCGCAATTAACACAGTGCCTGGGACATAAAGGCATGCTGACAACTTTTATTGGGGAGGGAGGTGTATTGGAGGGTTATGGAGAGATGTGGGGAAGGTAGTGTTAGTGATTTTTTTTAACTTATGGAATAAAGCAAGCCATTTATGACATAGTATAATAAAAAGATGATTGCACATGAAACTGCAAATCTATCATGTACAACTTGCTATTCCTTTTAAATATATAATGAAGTATGATAGTGATTTCAAACCAGAAAAGAAAAGAGTATTATTGAAATACCTAAAAATACATAGAAGATAAATAAAGGAAGTTCATAAGGGTATACAGATGAGCAGGGTAGTGTTGGAATTAATGAGTTAAATCCAATATATACTTTTCAAAAATAAGCCATATATAAAATATTGATTTACAGTGTCATATGCAATCCTCTTCTTCTATTCTTTGTATTGTTAAGCAATTGTTAATATTTGTTGATGTTTGTCAAGTTAATAATAATATAAAATAAAAAAGACATATAATACAAAATAATAATATTAAAAATAAATAAAACCACAAATAAATTAATAGTAATAATAGAAATACTATAAAAGAAAAAAGAAACATTAAAATCCAAGCCAGGATACAAGGTTAAGGCAGCAGTGTGAGGCAAAGCAAGTTGGATTTGAGGTTGCAGGAATTTGGTTGGCCTCACAGTTCTACCATTTGTTACCTATACGAATTGAGGTATCTGGTCCTCTGTGTCCTCATCTTTAAAATGAGGGCTAGATAACCTATAAGACCCCTTCCAGCTCTAAATCTATAATCCTGTAACAACCCCTTGTGATTTGAAGAGTATCAGGATCTTGGTTCCTGAAATGCCACTACTAGCAATTTATTTCTTTGGATTAAGTCATTTCTAGGTCTAATAAAATGAAGCTATTCCTTGGAAGAGGTGATAACCAGTCATCAGCTATCATTGCATTATCACGAGTTACCTTTTAAACTGATGGCTAATATTTACCTCTCATATTTATATACAGTAAATAAGGTGCTTATTTACAACAATATATAAGCCAGGTAGTGATTATTTCCATTTGATAAATAAGTTGAAACCCAGAAAAGTTAAGTGACTTGCCCAAGGTCATATAGCTTATGCGTCAGACCTAAGATTCAAACCCAGGTCTTCTGACTCCAAATCCAGTGCTCTTTCAACTGAGCAAGGAATGAGACATACAACAGTTGTGTGTGAGTAAATGTTTAACAAACAGCTGTGGGATGGTGTCATTGAAACACCTAATAATACATAGAAGATAACTGAAGGAAGTCCACTAGGGGTGAAATATATGCATGACACACATTTAAGTTTAATCTGTGTTATTAACATTTTCTTCATCACTTTCTAAAGTCTAGATAATCAAGAAAACAATAAATCAAGACCTGGTTTGTAGAATTTGCCAATTTCTGAAGTGTAAATGCTCACAATGGAAATTTAACAATGAGCTGGTTCCAGCATACAACCCCTGTATACCACAAATAAAATTTTATTAGGGAAGGAATGAAAAGCAATAATTAATGGAGAAGTCTTGGAAGTTGTGGTAGGGAGTTAATCAGCTAAGAAGTGTCACAAAGGACCTTGGTGTACCTGTAGAAGAGAATGGAAGACCATAAAAATGAAACAGGAGGACATTAAAGACAAACCTTGCCTACTCCATAATTTTTCCTAAAGCAGAATCTGCTTAAACAGGTTCACATTTATAAAACCCTGCTTGGCCCTTCCCAAGGAACAATACCTGTAACAGATTCCTAAAAACAGATGCAAAAGTGCCTCTGATACAATGTAAAATTGGATTTTCTTTCCTGTTTTGATTTTCCCTGCATTGAACAAACAATAGAATAACACATCATACCCAGCCCTCCACCAAGCAAAATTATGAATGAGTTTAAGCTGTGAATATTAGACGAAAAAGAAGGCAGATCTGAATTTCAATTCAGAGGGAGGAGAGAAGTAATAGCTTTATTCTGGGGTGTCTTGTGGGGACTGGAGCCTTCTTAGCTGTTCTTTCTTGTTTTTTCCACAGGGGCAACTTTCCTCTCCTAAATCCTTTTGTTTTTCCAGTTTTCCTGGGCCCTGAGTAAGCAGGA